TCCCTTTTCTCCAAAGCTCTATTGCCCCATGTCTGACCCTCTAGCCCACACCCCAGGCCCTCCCCTGACTGCCTGTCCTACAGGCTGGTGCAGTGTGGCAGGCCAGGCCAGGGACTCAGGCTATAAAGCATCTTTGAGCTTCCAGCCAATCACCAGAGGCCCACAGGGAGGAGGCAGTTAATGGACAGGATAGGTTGCAGGTGGAGCCTCCCCGCAGCAGCGCGAGTGCTGTCCACAGGGCTGAGACTATCAGATGCTTAAGCTACATGCTTGGGTGGGAGCAGGCTTAGTTTTTAGCATTTTCTAGAAGGGGGAAACAGGCTCATGGAAGGTAAAAGACTAGTTCAGGCTCTGTGGGAAGAAAGACCCTGCCCCAGGCATGCTGACTCTGTACTAGAGAGCACCAGGACCCGAGTCTTGTGTTGCTCATGGCTGAAGCCAGTGCACATGAGTGTGGGAAGATCTCTGGAGCAGGGTGTGACCTTCGGGAAGTCATGGCCAGCCCAGGGTTTTAGTGCAGCCTCCTCGGACAGCTTCTCTGGACCTTGTGCCTCACCATTCAGAAGGCTGCATGGTGTTACCTCTGTGGCGCTGGGAGAAGGACCCTACCCTGGCGTGGTTCATCCCTTCTACCTCCTGGGCCTTGTAGTCCTGCCCATCCCTGGGGAGATGTCTGGTCCGTGTCCCTTGAGTTTGTGCAGGACTCAGAGGGACTCAGAGCTGCCTCACCTACATCAGTGTCACCAGAGCTACCCATGTTTGATGAGAGGAGGTACAAAAGGTAGCACAGGCAGGTTGTGCACCAAGAGCCATGGCCAGGCTGCCTGTGGGGGCCGTAGATGAGCTCCGAGGATGACCTCCAAGCCAGGACAAGTGCTCTGAGCATGTGACTGTGCGAGTGGCTCCTGAGGTTCACTAGATGCAGGTGTGAGCCTGCTCTGGAGACAGGAGCACACACACACCTGCCAGCCTGGCTCTGTGGCTGCTCTCCTGGCAGGGTCAGCTACTCAGGCTGGCAGCTGGGCAGCCACTCCAGACTTCTCCTGCCACCTGGGCCCTGCACCCCTCAGGCTGGATAGTCCCTCCTTACCCTCACTCTAGCTCCTGGGTGGTATGGTCGGCTGGTTACACAGTCCATGCTCTGCATTCACAGGGCCAAGACAAATTTAATGGAGTGACTGTTTCACCTCCCTTCCCGAACGCCCCTGTCATGGGATGGATCCCAGCATCCCATGCTTGCTCAGGAGTTCCTGCATCACCGTGGTCTTTCCCACATGGAGCTTTCTGCCCAAATAATACTCAGTGGCACACCTTCTCTGGGTGCTCAGGAGCCTTGGTGGTTTGTGGGTGCTATCCTCTCAGGAATACCTTTGATCACCATGTGGCCCTTACCTGGGCCAGCTGTGAGGGTTGCCTTTCCCCCCCGCAGGGGCTCCTTCTCGATCCCCAATCTCTGTTTCCTGTTTCCAGTGTGGCAGTCACTGCCCTGCCTCCCTGTCCCCTCTCCCACCAGCCTCAGGTCCCGCAGCGCCCCAGGAGCCCCGCTTTCCAGACATCTATGGAGGGGACAAGGAGCTCTGGGAGGCGCACTTCTGTGGCATCAGGCGCGCCTATCGCGCGCTAGGCAAGGAGGACGACTTTGCCATCCGCGTGCTCACGGAGGACTTCACGCTGCCTTTCCCGTTCGCCTGGCCGCCTGGGCCCGACCCCGCCCGCGGGCCGCTCTTCTATGATCCACGGGATAGGGCGGGCTTCGACTTCCTGCTGCGCGGCCCAGGCGCCC